TTTATAAAATAGTTTAAAAAGTTATTGTGAAATTGATTAATTAGTTCGGTTAAGAAATCTTATATTTATTAATATTTTATATTTAGGCTGATTTTGAGAACTTAATGAAATTTTGAAGGAAACTCATTAACTATGAACAGTTCACTAAAATTAGTGCTATTAAAATTAAATTAAGATGACATTATTAAAATTTGTAAGCTTTGTAAGTTAAAGTTCAATCATATAAATTTTTTTAAATTTATATATATGTTACTTATACTGTTGATAATATTTCATAATAAAAATTAATTGATTAATTTTTAAAAGGCAATAGACTAGACTATAAAAAATTAATATATGCTATGTGATCTTAGATTATAGGAGCGGTTTGATTGACTGAAAATGTAATACAATGCAAAAGGAATGAGCACAAAAGAAATATTCTGAAGTTGTTTGGATGAATGTAAAGTAAATACATGTGAATGATTTATTTTTGTTAGAAGTAATAAATGTATAGTAAAGCTTTAAATGGTGATGGCTGACAGCGGTGGCAGCCAGTGGCGGACGAAGGTGGCCGGTGGGGGTCGGCGGTGATTGTTAGCCAACCAAGAGTTTGTTTTACACTCAAAATGAATTACTTCACTTAACATTACATTCATTATACTTTATTTTGCATCATTTTGTATTCCAACTAAACATCAAAATTTATAAACCTCCCGCATTTAAAATAATTTACACCCTAAAGTAACAACCAAATAACCCCTTAAATAAAAGCTAATTAAGAGAATAGTGATTATTCACCACGAGAGAACAAAAAAGCAGCTCTGTAAAATCATTATAGGGCAGAGATTTCAATCAAGTAGACAATGAAATTAAAAAGAAACATTAATTGGGATTTGGATTGTGCTATGAAGTTATGGTGACTGCTCCAACATCTCTGTCATTGTTTCTTTTATAATTTTTGGTTGTTTTTGGAGCTATGGTTAATTTGTGCGGTTACACCATTATAGCTAGCTCTTACTCTCGAGTCACATTTGTTGTTTCTTTTTTATTTTTAATGAAATTGGGCTCTACAACTTATCGTTCTCAAAAAACATCTGTGTCAGTGATTAGTTGGTTGAAAGCGTCTAGACAAGTATTACTTCTCAGAAGGGGCATGCAGAAATCTGAATTAAATAAAATAAAAGAAGAAAAATGTAGTTTGTTATAGGAAGATATAATATGTGAAAAGAGAGATATTTCCTTGTTATTTTGGTTTGGCTTATTTTCAATTATAAATCATTTAATTGACAAATCAATACTATTCATCTAAATTTTCAGCAAAATTATTATGATATCAATATTTAAAAAAAATTCTGAGATGTATTAATCATTCATCAAGCATATTTAGTAACAACATAACTAATGATCTAGATAATTAATCTTATAGTGTAGTAGTACTTGAATAAAATAAAAATGATTAATGAGCTCATATAAAATAATATTTAGAATACTTTCAATATATATAAATAATGCACAGATAGGGAGGCTTCTATGGATGGTCTGTGTTGTGTTTCTTGAGTAGAAAGCATCTTTGATGCTGTGAGTGAGTTGATGGAAGAAAGCGTTGGAGATAACGAAAGATAATCAAAACGTTCATTTTAGTGTGGTGGAGATGGCTTGATCTAGAGATAGTTAAAAAAGAAAACTCAAGAAGTTTTTATAAGTGATTGATGATCGTAAGAATGATATTCTTTTTAGAGAGAGAGAGAGTTGATATAACTTGGAGGTGTTAAGCGAACAATGAATGAAGTTTGCAGAGGCCGTTGAGGATGATCGAATTGTTCGAGGTGAAGGAAACAAAAGAATTTTTTTTGTGTTATTATGGACAATGATGAAGATTCGTTAGAATAATCTATGTTCTCAAAGGTGACGAGATTGAACAAATTAATGGCAATGGATACTTACGGGCAGTTGGGTAGTCCCTCTCCTTTTATGAGAGGACACCGATAACCTAAAGTTGATGGACGACAAAGAGAGGTTGAGATAATCTTTCTGCTAGGAGTCGAGACTAAAACTCATAATCAGTAAGTGACTAAAGCAAATTGAGAGAAGCCTATCGCTTTAAAAAAGAGGGATCAAATGACCTAGATTGAGCGACTAAAGAGGCTATGGATAGTCCTTGTTCTTAAAAATATAAAGATTGTATAGCCTGAAGTTAGTGGGTAACTAAGGATTGACAAGACAAATTCAACTCATAGAAGGAATGTCAAAAAAATCACTCTCTCCTAAAAGAGTGAGGAACATATGACCTAAACAAGATAATGAAAGATGGAAAGGATGGTCCCTTTCCTTAGGGAAAAAGTTTGTACAGCTCATAAATGGCGATCCAAAAATATCAAAATGATTGAAGTTTTGGTGGTAATTACCGCTCTCAATTTTTTAACGTTCTAAAAACTATGAATATCCTTATTTAAGAGAATAAGTAGCCTCTTCATAAACTCTGAGGAAAATATTTTGATTGTATTCAAAATTATACATGATCATTCAACATTCTTATCAACAATGACTGATATAAATTACACCCTCCATTGATTAAAAGTGATTAGATAATCCCACATTTGAGTAAGCCTAATCAACTTGCCTGACTAGGACAAGGATGAATGGCCAATGATAGTGGCTTCACAAAGATCTTCATCCATGATGCATTTAATTAAATAATAAAATATGTCATATTATAGATCTTAATTTCATGAAATCAAAGAAGGGGTTGATAAAAAATCCAACACTTTGATTGATGCGAATATTTCTAAAAAATTTTTGCATATCAAAATTTAAGGCCATTGAAAAATGATGATTGTTAATTATTATTATTTTATCAAAGCAGTCATATACCCAAGAGAACTGATATATCAAAGTTGGTCATAAAATATATGTATATGGAGGCAATAATAGGTTTGGAAAATTTAAATATAATTACCGAACTTCAGAAAATTGGTATTTGAAAATACTAATTTTTATTGTGGCATTTCGAAGAACTCCAAACTATCAAATCGCATGACAATGCCTATTAACATCCCAATGAACCAACCCCTAATATGACAGTCAAATCCATCATTGCCACCCTTCATGCATGTATGAACAAGTATGCAAAGAAGAAGGAGATGGTGGTGGTTCACTCTAGGCAAGCTCAACTCATTATGATTCATAAGGTTTAGCTCTTGAATGTTCTTGAATTTGAATCATGGCAAAAGAGGAGTATATATTTTATTTTTATGCTCTAATATTCTCAATGATGAGAATTGATAGTTTTGCAATGACTCAAAATACTCATCTACTACTAATTAAATGCTAAAGATTAATTATATACACTTGATTGCTAAGACATTAATATCATCTAATTAAGGACCCGCTATACTAATTGACTCTATTGCAACATAAAAAGCATGGTATGTGTTGCATGCCCGAACATTCATAGTATTAGAATGAGAGAGTTCAACATCTTAAATTTGTAAGGAGATCAAATACACATACTGATAAGAGAGAAGACATAAGTGACATAAGAGTATTTAAATTAAACATATGAAAATCAAAAAAATCCATCGGGCTTGGCCCAAGTGAAATGATTTCACTGGTGTTTGTCATCCATTGAAAATAATGCTCTTTCTCCATGATTAGAAAAGGAAGTCTAGGATTAGTTCAGAGTCTGATCAGTATAGGTACTTTTGTACTTTTGGTTTTTGTACAGTCATGGCTTTTCTGTTCTGTCTTTCTTTCTGTTGAAAGCCATGTACTGTTCTGTAGATGATTGTTTTGAGGAAATGAAATTGGATAGATGTTTTGTTCCGCTGCATTTGATGATACATAGTAGCTCTGTGTTTGTTAGTCTGTGTGAATTAATTATTTGGAAGATTCAGTTCCGAACCAAATTCCAAAGCTAGATCCTGGTTAGTGCAGCTCCGTCGCGATCCAGCACGGGCGGGATCCGTCTCGTCTCGGGTCGGGTCGTGACAGTCGTCCCTCATCACGTCGTAAGCGTCCGGCGTCTGCGTAACAGGTCGTCACGTCGTCACGCCGTTGATCAATCGGGTTCGTCGTCACGTCGTCACGCCGTCGCGCCAGCGTCCTAGCTCGGGTTCGTCGTCGTCATGCCAGTGTCCGGCCGCCTCGATCGTCATGTCGTCACGTAAGCATCCGGCCGCAATCGTCACGTCATCATGCCATCTTCCGCGTAACAGGAAGCCTAGCTCCGGTTCGTCGTCGTCGTTCGCCGCAATCGTCACGTCGTCAGCGTCATCGCCGTCGTGTTTAGAATTTCCGATTTCCCGCTCGCGAGCTCCGTCCATTTGGATTTTCCGCTCACGATTTCGATTTTCCCCCGCTAGCTCCGTAATCGAGCGGCTCAACGAGCCATCGAGTCGATCAATCGGCTGTTCGAGCTCGAGCTCGATAAGCGATCGAGCTCAAAATTGTGTTCAAGCTCGACTCGCGAGCTCGATAAGCTCGGCTCGTCGAGCCTATTATCGAGTCGAGCTCGAGCCGGCTTGACTCGGTTACACCCCTAGTGTTATGTATTTCCTGATGGGAGGTTCAATTTCAGAATTAAAATTCAAAGTCAATTTAAAAATTTTCAAAGAAAACTATTTTTTTCAATACAAGCATATGTCTCTGGCTCTGGCTTTAATTTGAAGGAGCTTTGAATGAGGGGAACAAGGGAGACAAAATCTGGGATACCTTCACAATCAAATTAGGTAAGATTAGATACTATACAAGTAAGAAGGCTTCCATCTTTTTGTTATGATGACAAACATATAAATTAAATCTTATGTTATAAATAGTCATTAGTTATCAGAACTTTCATAGAAAAGGATCTATGTGCACATATGAAATATTTTAAACTTCAATATTACCAACATTGCATTTGATAAGTACCACAGATATAAAATAAATAATGTAACGCTTGTATATTTATCCTATGGACCACAATCACTACATTGAAAGAAGGATTAAAACTCAAAATTGTGTTGATTGATGTGGACTTGATGAAAAATATTGGAATATATACATACAGGTTCTCCATCTCCTGGTTTAACTTTTGGGGAGGCTCAGAACTACCAGGCGGGGCGCTTGGTCGAGGGAAAACCCTAGCCGCCACTCTGCTCTCTGCTGACCTTCTTCCTTCTGCTTCTCCTCCGGCTCTGCCGGAGGACCTCCTCTCCTCCACACTTCTATGGATTCTTCTCTCCATATCACTAACTTTCCCCCTCTTGCTTCATCTTCAGCGGGAGGAGTTCGCTCTTCTCCGAAAGATTGGAGCCAGGTATTTGCAACCGAGCATAACTCCCCAAAAGCCTTCAGTTTTTCTCATTTCCCTTCTGAGCCTGAGGTCATCCCCTTCTCGGGCGACAAGCTTCAACAAGGTGGTGAAGATTGGAAACTTTGTCTCGTTGGTTACTCAATAGGGCGTCGGCCTTATTATGAAGCGCTTCTCGGAGCGATCAAAAAAACATGGAGCTTAAAAGGTTCGGTGCAATTGCTTTCTCTAAATGATGGGTTTTTCCTTTTTAAGTTTTCTTGTAATGATGATTATGAGATGGTTTGGACAAGAGGAGTTTGGTTCTTGCTTGGGAAACCTTTTGTCCTGCAAAAATGGCATCCGAAATTCACCCCCACTAAGGAGGATTTCACTTCGGTTCCCATCTGGGTCAAGATCCATGACCTGACTCTTGCATGTTGGAATTCGGAGGGCATTTCGCGTATTGCTAGCAAAATTGGAGTTCCCCTTGCAGCTGATAGTCTGACGGAGCAAAAGACCAGATTGACATATGCTCGCATATGCGTTTTGGTAGATCGTGACGCCACTTACCCGGAGGAGATTAAAGTGTCTCTGGATGGGGATATTGTCTGCCTCAAAGTGCAATACGAATGGAGACCCTATCCCTGTAACCATTGTAAGTCTTTAATGCATTTATCTGCTTCATGTCCTACTATTCCAGAAAAAGAACGAACTGTTCAAGTGAATGATGGGAACTCTAAGCGTGGAAGGAGTAATAGTAGGAAACCTCGTTTTCGCTCTTTCTCTAATTCTATGATTGTTTCTACTATTCCGGAAAAGTCTGTTGTTCTACCTAATTTGCCTCCTAACTTAAATGTGGTTCAGTCTTCTTCCGAGCCCACCATAATTGCCACAGACAAATCTCCCACCATTAATGCGGTTATTAATGAGTTAGGGATGACATCTCTGTATCAGCCTCACTCCCCCAAATTGCACAACCCTCTTATCTGCTCTTCCCCACCGAAAATTACTATCTCAGAAGATAATACGGCCAAGGACATTCCAAATCTTAATTCACCTCAAGAGGCTGCTGCCTCTTCCTCCAATGGCTCTCTATCTAAAAGCAGTCATCAGGAAAATGACATTACATCTCCCAATAAGTTTGGGGCCCTTAATATTGAGGAAGATACTAGTTTGCAAACTGAAGTTCTAGTTAGGCCGGTCAACGTCATGTTAGCTAATAATGCTGAAGGGAATTCGGATAAAAACAACAAAGCTAATGAGAAGGCTAAACCTTCTTATGTCAATGTGGTTTCTAAGAAATCTGCTAAGGGGAAGGAGGTCAAAAAACCCCAAATCCAATTATATTCCTGATGACTTTTCCACCCATTGCGGCGTGGAATATCAGGGGGTTCAATCGCCCTGATAAAGTGTTGGGTTGTAAGAGGCTAATTGACTCCTTCAAACTTGACATGGTTTGCATTTTGGAGAATAGGGTGCATGCTCACTCGTTTCATGACCATTTTTTTCAGTCTTCTCACTCTCTTTTCGTTAATGAAGAGAGTTGTCATAATTTTGATCTCTCTCAATCTGGGAGAATTTGGATCAAATGGAATGCAGATAAGTTGAACTTTACTCCTAAATTTGTCTCTCCTCAGATTATCTCCGGGGCTGTTTCGGTTGCTAACTCCCCTCTTATGGAAATTTCTGTCATTTATGCTTCTAACAGCAGCTTAGAGCGTAAAGATCTCTGGGATTTTATTGTCAAAGTAGCTCCTCCTGGCAATTTTCCTTGGGCTCTCATTGGGGATTATAATTGCTGCAGGTATGCCTCTGAGAAGTTGGGGGGAACGCCCATCTCCCATTCCAACTTGTCTGATTTCAATAACATGATTTTCAACAATAAGCTTGTGGACTTACACTCGGTTGGTTGCAAATTTACGTGGTTCAATCAAAGACCTGATAATCCAATTCATATCAAGCTTGATAGAGTTCTTGTTAATGATGGTTGGTTGAATGTTTTTTCTAACTCATATTGCTCTTTTCAAAGTCCTTCCTGCTCGGATCATTGCCCAGTTATCCTTCATCCGGGTGGTCTTAATCGGGTTTTTCACAGGTTTTTATTCAAAAATTATTGGACAAAAATTGATGGTTACTGGAAACATATCCTGCATCTTATCAGCTCTCCTTGTCTGGGTAATCCTCTGAGTCATCTTTGTAATTCCTTGAAAAATTTAAAAGGTGAAATCAAAAAAGAGAAATGGGCTTCCTCTACTTCCGTTAAAAGGCATCTTGATTCCCTTCATCAAAAGCAAAGAGATCTTTTGGATAGTTTGCAAGTGGATCCTCTCAACCCCATCCTGAATCATGATTACAAGGTTAATAATATTGCCTTGACCAATTTCACTTCATTACAAGCTTCATGGATTATTCAAAGAGCCAAAGTGAACTGGCTAAAGCATGGTGAAGATGATCTTAAATTTCTCTTTGGCAAAATCAAAAGAAGATTGGGTAGTTCCAATTCCATTGCTAATCTTATGGCCTGTAACCCAAATTCCACTAGAGCTGAGGTGATAACTTCTATCCTGCACCACTTTCAGGAATTATATAATCCTCCTCTTCCTACTATCCTGGATTTGGATATTTTTCCTATTGGCTCGGTTTTTCCTGATTCACATGTCAGCTTGCTTGTTTCCTCTGTATTGGATGAAGAGATTCAACAAGCGGTTTTTAACGGGTCTTCTACTTCGGCCCCCGGTCCAGATGGCTTTAACTTCCACTTTTATAAGTCTGGGTGGCACATTCTTGGCCCTATGGTGTGCAGGGCTATCAAATCTTTTTTCCTTAAAGGTTACTTACCTAATGGGGTTAAGGCCACAGCACTTGCTATTATTCCAAAACATAAAAATGCTGCTAGTATTAATGAGTTTAGACCCATTGCACTGTGCAACGACCTGTACAAAATCATTGCTAAAGTGATGGCTGATCGTCTTAGACCGGTTATTAGTATGCTTGTTAAGAATAATCAAGCTGGATTTGTGAAATCCAGAGTCTCTACTGATAGCATTCTTCTGGCCAGTAACATTCTCTATTATTCTGGAAAAAAAGGTGGTTTCAATATTTTCTGCGCTAAACTCGACATTAAAAAAGCCTTTGATTCTGTATGTCGGGAATTTTTGTTGGCAAGGTTAATCCAAAAAGGGATTCCTAGTGAGTTTGTTTGTTGGGTTAAAGCTTGTATCACTAATGTTAATTTTTCCATTGTGCTTAACGGGGCCTTAGAGGGTTATTTTTCCACTACTGCTGGACTAAGGCAAGGATGCCCTCTTAGTCCTTATCTCTTTTGCTTGGTGATGGATGCTTTTTCTAATCTCCTCGAGGGCAGAGGCTTTAAAGGTATATCCTTTGATAAATTTTCCCTCACTCACTTGCTTTACGCAGATGATGTTCTGATCTTTGGTGAGGCTACTTTAGACAATTGTAATATCCTCAATTCTGTTCTCAGAGATTTTGCTAATTCCACTGGGCTCCATGTCAATCATGATAAGTGTTCTATCATGTTTCCCAAGCATCTAGTCAATCAGCTTGATATTTGCAATGCACTGGATATTCATAACATCGTCAATAAGATCAATTATCTGGGAATTCCCCTCTCTTTTTATAGGCTTAAAATTGAGGATTTCTTGCCTCTTTTGGATTGTATCAACAGGAAATTGAATGGATGGAAGGCAAATTTACTTTCGTTTGCTGGTAGGTTACAATTCTTGAAATTCACCATCCAAAACTCCATTGCCTATTGGATTAGAGGATCTATTTTACCTAAATCTGTTTATAAGGTTTTTAAAAGGCAGAGCTCTCGGTTCCTGTTTTTTGGTGAGACCACTTCTTCTAAGAAACTCCACATGGTTTCTTGGGACAACATTTGTAAGCCTAAACTCAAGGGTGGTCTTGGTATTCCTTCTATTTCTGCTATGCAATATGCTTTTAATTGCTCTGTGATTTTCAGAATGTACAATGATTTTACTCCTCTTTCTACTTGGCTGTTGCAAAAATATAGGAGTCCCTGGAAGCCGCCTCATATCAATGATTCTAAACTTTGGAAAAGTATTTGTAAAACTGCTTCAGATGCTAAATCCTGTTTTAGATTTAATGTCACGCCTAATGCTTCTATTTCATTGCTTTGGGATCACTGGTGTCACAACTTAACCCTTTCTGAATTTACTGGGGATGACTCTCTGGAACATATGCCGGATTGCTTTTTACATGAATTAATGACTGGTTCCACTTGGTCTTTGCCTGGGCATTTTACTGCTTTGATTCATAGCACTCTTAATGCCATCCCCATTTCGGATAATCCTGGTCCTTCTATGTGCTGGAAAAACAAAAAGAACCATAAATTTAGGCATTTTATTGAAGAGTTTTACTCTGATTATGATCACTGTGGCTGGCATAAAATGGTTTGGCATAAACGTAATTCTCTTAAGCACACGGTTTTTGTTTGGTTGGCTCTAGTGGGTGGCCTGAAGACTGCGGAGGCTCTTAAAATTAGACAGATTCATGTCCCGTTACTCTGCAATTTTTGCCTATCTAATGCTGAATCTGTTTCTCATTTGTTCTTTGACTGCCCGTATTCTTTTTACATTTTGAACTCCCTCATTCCTGGGAGCAGCTGTTTTCTTTTGAGGCCTTCGATTTTGCAAATGTATGACTGGTTGTCTGATGTTTATGGGGATAATTCTGAGAAGTTGAATTTTTATAAGCTGACGGTGGGCTGTGTTATTTATTATACCTGGAGAGAACGTAACAATAGAAGGTTTGGAGGTACCTTTCAATGTGCTACCTCTGTTTTGCTTACTATCAAAAGGACTCTTTTTGAAAAAGTTTTAAGATGGAAAGGTGGAATTCAATTGCTGGAAGAACTTTAAAATGGCAGGTGTTTCCTTTTGGCCCTCCGATCTCGTCGCTCTTTCGCCTGCTGCATACGCCTTGTCTGGACGATGATGAATCTCCCTTAGCAGGCGCCTTGGATGGCCTTCGGGCAACCAGGTTTCTCGACCGTTTGATGTTTTTATCCCAATCTGAGTCCAGATTTTGGCAAGGGAGAATAGTTATTTCGGCTGGAACTTCTTTCCACGTTTGTCATGTCAGCTCCTCTTGTTGCTGCTTTGTCGGGTTCTTTCATCCTAATCTGCAACTGCCACGGTTTTGGTTCTTTTTACTTCAATTTTGAATTGTACAAGGTGGTATAGTTGGGGTTTATTTACATTTTTCTACATAAGTTTTTTCTCTACTTATGTAGTTTTGATTTAAAATATGTCATATTATAGATCTTAATTTCATGAAATCAAAGAAGGGGTTGATAAAAAATCCGACACTTTGATTGATGCGAATATTTCTAAAAAATTTTTGCATATCAAAATTTAAGGCCATTGAAAAATGATGATTGTTAATTATTATTATTTTATAGAAGCAGTCATATACCCAAGAGAATTGATATATCAAAGTTGGTCATAAATATATGTATATGGAGGCAATAATAGGTTTGGAAAATTTAAATATAATTACCGAACTTCAGAAAATTGGTATTTGAAAATACTAATTTTTATTGTGGCATTTCGAAGAACTCCAAACTATCAAATCGCATGACAATGCCTTTTAACATCCCAATGAACCAACCCCTAATATGACAGTCAAAGCCATCATTGCCACCCTTCATGCATGTATGAACAAGTATGCAAAGAAGAAGGAGATGGTGGTGGTTCACTCTAGGCAAGCTCAACTCATATTGATTAATAAGGTTTAGCTTTTGAATGTTCTTGAATTTGAATCATGGCAAAAGAGGAGTATATATTTTATTTTTATGCTCTAATATTCTCAATGATGAGAATTGATAGTTTTGCAATGACTCAAAATACTCATCTACTACTAATTAAATGCTAAAGATTAATTATATACACTTGATTGCTAAGACATTAATATCATCTAATTAAGGACCCGCTATACTAATTGACTCTATTGCAACATAAAAAGCATGGTATGTGTTGCATGCCCGAACATTCATAGTATTAGAATGAGAGAGTTCAACATCTTAAATTTGTAAGGAGATCAAATACACATAGTGATAAGAGAGAAGACATAAGTGACATAAGAGTTTTTAAATTAAAAATATGAAAAGCAAAAAAATCCATCAGGCTTGGCCCAAGTGAAATGATTTCACTGGTGTTTATCATCCATTGAAAATAATGCTCTTTCTCCATGATTAGAAAAAAATGTTGATACAATGAAATATAAAATGTACATGATGGATTCCATATATGGAGGAAGTTCAAAGGCCTTATAGCATGAGAGTTATATTTGAGAGATCGTTTTTTATTTTTTGGCCATTTTTCTTTGATGAGAGAAGATCAAAGACAAAAAACGTCAAGCATAAAATATTTGTGACAATGTCAAGAGTTAGAGTTAATGTCTATGGAAGGTCAGAGGACCATAATCTGAAGATGGTGGTCAGAGGATCATAGGAGGGTGTTAGTTAAAGAGCTGTAATTGAATGATATTGTTTGCAGGATTGCAGTTAGAGATGGTGGTTAGAAGAACGTAATCGAGCGATAATGATCAAAGGATCATAATTGGGTGATAATGGTCAGAGAATCATAGTCAAGAGATAATATTTGGAGGATTATTGTTAGACGAAGGAACTCAGATGATTGTAATTGGGTGATGTCGATCAAAGGATTATATTCGATCAATAGTGGTTGGAGGACCATTTACGTGCAACATTGATCAAAAGATTATAGTCGAGTAATGTTGGTTGGAGGACTGTAGTAGGGTGAAGGTAGTTGGGATCAAGATTATAGTCAGACGATAGTGATTGGAGGACTATAGGAGGGTAGAGGATTGCAAGAGGGTGATATTGGTTAGATGATTATAAGGGCATATTGGTCGTAGAACTGTAGTTCGATGTTGTTGATTGGAGGGCTATAGTTGGACGATCTTGATTGGAGAACTATAGTTGGGAAGTAGAGCTTGGAGGACATAATTAAGGGATGGTGGCTAGTAGACCATTATTAGGTGATTGTGTTAACTGGATCATAGCCAGGTCATTTTGGTTGGAGGATTATAGTCAGGTGACAATAAACAGATAATTGTAATTCAGAGATCATTGTCAGTAGACTGTAGTTGGGTGGTGGTGATCGAAAAACTTTAGTCAGGTGACAATAGTTAGATGATCATAGTCAAGCAATAGTGGTGGAATTATCATAGTCAAGCTGTGGTGATTGTGAGACCATAGTCATGCGATGGTAGTCAAAGGAATGTAGTATGGTGAAGATGGTGAGATGACTATAGTCAGATGAAAGTGGTCGGAGGACCGTGTCCAAGTGATAGTGATTGGATCGAGGACATAGTTAATGACGGTGGTTTGGTAGTAGTGGTAAAATGGAAATGATTGGATAGTAGTCCGATGACAATAGTTGGGTCATTGTTTGATGGAGGTGGTCAAGTGGTGGTCCGATGAGGATAGTCCTTCTAAAACTCTGAGATTTTTAAAGCCCTAAACTCTCTTGAATCTCAAGTCAAGGTCCAAGTCCATGCTTTCTCTTTTCATGTATAAAGTGGGTTCTATTTATTCATTTTTGAGAGAGGCATAACCCCTTCTTTTAGCCAAAATTTATAACATTCTGTCAAACTGTTTGTATTTAATTCCTCGATCATAGACAATTTTTTTATCATTTAAGTGCTTACTGATATTAGAATAAGATGATTTTTGGCTCTTTTATTCATCTCATCATCAGGGTCGATTAAATTATAAGCATGTAAGATATTGAGATGGATTGATCTTCCAATTAAAATCTCAAAGTTTTTTAAAGGCTCATTTCTACTTGTATGAGACTACTTTATTGATGGATTTTTCTCATCAAGACGTTTCGTTCTACTATAAATATGGTGACATAAGTGATCAGATGGTCCTAAATTTTATTTCAAAAGTTGTAAGCAAATTTCAGAGGATGTGTCCATGAGTACTTTGGCTATTTTAAATAACACATGACAATGTCGTATATATGTTTTTTAAAAGTTGATATACATATATGAATGATTGAACTCCGGCCCCTTAAATATACTGCTTCGAATTAGCGGCAAAGTGGTGGTTGTACTTACCTGTAAGGATGAGGATTTGCTTTCGGTAACGGTCGTGGTTTCTTGGAAGCCACTGACGTTGCAGATGCGACGTTATTAATTAGAACATAGCTGCATTGTGCAGAGATCGAATTCATGTCGGGTTATGAGTTATGAATGCTGAATAGGCTTAATCACCACTGAAATGTATCTATACGAATTTAAAGCTGTCTTGCAGGAAATTTGTAAGAGAAGATGGTGGTCCTAAAATTTTGAATAATTGCAAGGGAAGTGACGTATCATTGAAATTGTTACACGTAGCTTTGCTTGTTTCAAAATTCACCCATATTTACAAGCGTGTATTTGATTCGATAAAAAAAAAAAAAACATACAAGTGCGAATATAAATGCATATCTCTACATGCATACATAACAAGCAATAACATGACATTAAAAAAAATAATAATAAAGATCGCTTTGAAGCGTTGTGACGCTCCACTTTGTCTTTGGGCCACTTTGCAAAGTTGCGGTGCTACCGCCTACAACGTTGCAATGCTATGTTATGTTTTCAATCAAGGACTGTAGAGTCGCAGCGCTTGAGTATGCAGAGTCGCAACACTTAGATATGCAGAGTCAACATAGTCAACAATGCTATATGACTATATAAAAAAATCAGGGCAAGGCCCCTGAACCGAAGCAGGAGATTCCCCCTGCAACCTCCCGATGAGCTCGATCGACATAATTGAGGTCTAAGTCAATTGTACAATTTGATTGATCGACACAATTAGATTCAACATGGAACTAACAAATTATTCACCCTGGAAATTTTTTCTCTTAATAAAATAAATATTTTTGTATTATGCCCCTTAAGGAAATAAATTTGCTCAAATTTGTTTGAAAAAATTCTTCTCTATTTTACTCTTAAGATTATATGCACCTCCATTTAATTTTGTCCACTCTTGAAAGAGAGATTGATTCCATCTCTGATGTGGAACACTTATACATAAATATATTATAAGCTTAAAATTAATATTTCACTGAGCTTTCTTACATGTGCTGCATCTTTACATATATTAGGCAGTTAGGGTGTGAAGGACGTGATATGCGGTAGATAATATACTCATTTTAAACCCCATACCTTAAAGCTATGGAGTCATGTCCACATTTGAAAAATTAAAATTATTGGATGTAAAAATGGAGCAATTATTACGTCCGGTCAAATCTGAACGTATCTGAATGTATACCGAGCAATACCGAGTGCTCAATATCGAGTTTCAGGTGATGTGGCACGTGGTTATTGGTCTATGAATGAGTTCGGTGAACCGGACGTAATAATTGCTCGTAAAAATGAGCCACTGGAGGTTGGGATAGATTAGATGGGCTTTAATACGTTTTCGCTGGCTGGATCGCCGGCCCAGATAACCCAATGCCAAATCTCAAAGTGCACTCCCACGATCAATGATTGGGCATTCAGAGAAGCAACTCACTACTATAAGAGAGATTATTATAGGAACTTTTATTTGGTCCGGTTACCTAACTTAGCTCTACATTCGGAAGCCATTAAAATAGTGCCATGTGTTCTCACTATTTACCTTAAAGCAAATGCCGAGCAAAATCGATCAATACTGAGCAAATACCGAGCAATACATAGCAATACGCGAACATAGAGATACCTAGCTCTATGTTCGCGTATTGCTAGGTATTGCTCGGTATTGGTCGATTTTGCTCGGCAATAACGAGAAATATCGAGCAATACCGAGTAATACCGAGAAATACTGAGTTTTTCTCGGTATTGCTCGGTATTTCTCGATATTGCTCGGTATTGGTCTTCACAGAGTGATATTTTTCATTATTGTCAAGCAATTCCTAGCAATACCTAGGGCAATACTGAGCAATGCGCGAACATAGCAATCCCGGGTCAAGTCGTCGGGCCGCGCGGTAAAGAGTAAGAGCACGTGACGACATGTTATTGGCGTCCGAACGTAGAGCTACGTCAGGTCACATGACCTAATAATTATTCTTATTATAGGGTGACATTGTGCTTTCATATTTTTTTTAATAAGAAAGACAGTATAGCATTTTCATAATATAAATTCTAACAACTATTATATTATATAAATTAACTAGATCATTTTTTAAAGTTAGGCCTATTTGGGACAATTTTTTTATTATATTTTTCAGATCGTAATCATAAATTCTATAATTCTATTTAGCCAATGGCCACTACTTTATGCTACTTTCAAAAAAAAAAAATGTACTAAGAAGATATTTTCATTAACAACTTTAAAAAATAATTTATCTATAACAATTTTATAAAACAATTTTATAAAACAATAAGAAATTCATCCCAAACGAAATCTTAGATATTATACTTTAAAATATATACTAATTGTATGTGATGTGAGCCTAACTTTTTCCTTCACTCAATTATATAAGATTCTATTAAGCTATACAAATTGAGCACTAAAGAAAATATTCGATTCCTCCTACCATTTCTTATCCCTCGTCTCTATCAATGGAAGGAATCCATTCAATAGAATCGACAGGAACAAGTGGGGAAACATGATAACAGCCCATTTATTCGAACAATATTAGCTTAGGAACACCATGCTTTATTCCTAACCCCTCTCGTCTCATCTCTCTCTCTCTCTCTCTCTCTCTCTCTCTCTCTCTGGGTGGATTAAAAAACGTGTGATGTAAGCCAAATTAAAATTCTCCTTCAATCTTCTATTTTTTATTAAGCTACTTTCCTCCGGCTGTAATAATAGCAATTGAATTTTCTTTGTGATGGTCGTAATAAATAATAATAGATTAATAGTAATAAATTATAATTTATAATGTAATAATCTTAGAAGAAATCTAATTGACTAAAATTCATCTTGACCAAAAATTTGATCAGAATTTATTAGGATCAATTTCTAATAAAGAAAGTAGTCTAAAAGACTCAAAACTTCACCGATAATCTATAAATTTCAGCTTGTATCATTTCATTTTTTTGTTGACCAGTTCTGTATGATTTGACAAGTTGCTTCATCAAGTATAGCATCCCTTTTTATCGAGAAATTATTCTGAGCAGATGCCGGACGCAACTCTACATCCACATGTTGCGGTACCGATTGGTACCGAGCATCGCTACCTATATCGAGTACCGATCAATATCGAGCCACGGTACAATGAAAATATGACGTGGTGTATTTTTATTTGTCTATAGATGTCGTTTGGTATCCGCACAAAATAATTTTTCCTTTTTATCACATGATAGCATCTCTTCTTATTGCATGAATGACAGAATATCTTATTTATTTTTAATAACTATCATAAATTTTTGAGGTACATAACAAAGATAAGTATAAAATCAAACAAATCATTACCTGAGCAGCACAAATTCACAATTCATATATATATTATCAAGATCTACTATAATACTCTATTTAGTATTTATTTTTATGTCTCTCTTAGACTTGTTATACAGATCTAAATAGAGTAGAAGATCTCGATTCACCAACAATTCTTTAAAATAAAACACATATATACTTAACAAAAGCACATACCAATAAAAAGCCCCCTCAACTAATTTCCCCTCCTAGCTATCAAGCAAAGGAGAGAATAATTAACAAAGGAGTTGGTTATTTACTTAGTAAGCAACGATATTGATGCCAAGGTTGGACTTTGCATAGTCGAGGAGGTTATCGATCTCGCCTTCGACGTCGATAAATCCGTCACCGTTAGCATCGGCTTGACGTATCCAGCGGTTGCTACGCCATCCGCTGAAGCGAACACCGATGCTACGGATGGCATGGCGGAGCTCATTTCGGCTGATGCGGCCGTCGCCATTAACATCGAAGCGTCGAATCCATTGACGGAATTCCTCGATCGTCATATCGCCGGACAAGGCACGGGTGGTCGTCGTGCCAGTTGCGGTGATCGCCATAGATGATCTCTGTATGTTTCCTTCTGATTATATTAGCTTGGAGAGGATTGGAAGTGTGAATTACAGGGCGTGTGATGCGGGCTATATATGCTGGCACGTAATTGTGCTTCCTCGTGGTCTATGAAGCTGGGTGGTCTGCTTTAGAAAAAAGGAGATTCCAAAGCTAGAGGAGCGTGATTCCCGTTTGAAAATAATTGATCAAAATAAAGGTAGTTTTTATTTGAGTTTTAATATATATTTTTTCTTATTAGATGATATTTTTATTTTGCTGGAAATAATTAGCATCCATCTTAGCTTTATTTAGGACATTTTTTTAGGCTTGATTTGAGATAAATGTTTTTTCTATTTTTTGAAGAAGATTTTCAGTATAAAAAATTATTGAACTAAAAATTTTTGTATTAAAAAGATAGTTTAAAAAGTAGAAAGAAAGCTATGCCAAATGAAACCTTCTCATTTATATTTTTGATAATTTTAATTTCTATGAATTTATCTCTCATAAATCTATAAAAAATACATAATATACACTAAAAATCATCATGATGAACTTGTTATTTGTCACATCATGACATTATTAAATAAGCTTTAACCATGATCAAAGATAATTAGCACAAAGAAATTGCAAAAAAGACCAAACACCAAAAGAAAAGTGAAAAGTAAAATTTATATGATTTAGTTTAAAAAAATTATAATTATGGTGTGCAATAAAATAATAGCTTTTATTAAATTAAACAGTTAATAAAAAGTAAATTTGCAGAGATGATGAATTAAAATATTAAACAGATACTAGAAATTACATGGTTTACAAGTTTCTCAAACAATGAACCATTAGTTCAAAGGATAGTACTTCGAATTCCAGAAAATATATGTTTTTGTGATTTTCCTATCCATTTTTTATAGGGGTATCAAGATGGGTTTTCGGGTTGGTTTCTGATCGAATTCGAAATTGACCCAGGTTCAAATTGGTCGATCCGAACCCGACACGATTTTACAAATGGGTCAGGAAATTGAACACGGGTCCTACCTGCGCATGTTGTGTTATTTTTTTTTAATTTTTAGTAAATTAATTTTCTTTTGTCATATGATATTTTCTTGATAAATTTGATTCAAATAACATTAAGTGTATGTTTAAGTATAACTTTTTTATTGCTTTACTTTTCAGATCATAATTATATTTTTATTTGGCTACAAATTTTTTTTTTTTTTGCTTTTTAAAAAATTTTGTGGAAGTTGTTTTTATATCAACTTTCAAAAAAGTTAATTACCTCATAATAGTTTATAGTAATCCTTGCAAAAAATTATAAGTCTCAAACATATATTAAGTGTTTGTTTGGGATGACTATACCTTTTTAAAATTAATTATAAAGTTGATGTAAATAAATTAACTTTTTTAAAGCTGCTTCTTAGCATAATATTTTTTAAAAAATAATAATAAAAATAGTGATCAAATACAAATTATAATTGAAGAGTGACAGTCAAAATAGTCAATAAGCTGTACCAAATAAAACCTAAATCAACAACATTTACTTTGACCTCATTTGTTTCATAGCTATTTTAAATACAATCACTAAAAGAATCCTATGCGGGCCAGAGCTTTATTTTACTTCCATCAAATTTCAAACTTTATTCTCTACTCTATTCCAGCAGTTCACTTTATTCTTTGAATTTTCTGCTTAATTGGAGCGCATGCCCAAAAATATAAAAACCAGAAAGTCAATAATGTCGTGGTAATCGCGCCTTGAGCTTTGTGCTATCTCCAACCGAATTGCATACAGTGATATGCATTTCGTCATTAGCTTCATTGGAATGCTAAATGATCCGCCAAAATTCAGTAGGTGGTGTCGCACTGCTCACCTATGCCAAAAAAATTTGGTTATGGGATTTGTCGAAGAAGCGTGCGAAAGAGGATAAAGATTATTACTGATGTGGAACAATGAAGTGGAACATTATAGCTAATAGTTCTCCTTAGGAATAGCTTATCTAGTTTGTTACAAGTCTCTCTAGAATATTCTATAGATGGGTTATATATCTATGCATTGTAGTAGGGAAAGCTCATTGAAGGATATATTACCCTCTTTGAAGCCTTAGAGCTTGCCTTTCTTCTTCTTCCCTGGATTGGGAAACCAAAATCCTTCTTGCAGGTCGAGTCTTCGGACGATCCACTACATCAATTACCTTTGCAGCGAGACAAAAAAGCCTGCATTTTGAAATTTTATTGTATTTTGGAGTGAAAAATAGAGTTTTTCCATGGGAGATGCTCTAAGATAATCATTTTAAATACATATATAAAAGAAATAAAATTCTTTTTAAATAGATAAACTACTTACACTTTGAATGAGTGATTAGATTTTATTTTATTTTTGATGGGTAATGTTTTTTTCATTGTGGTAGCGTTAGTTTGACAAACAATTTAAAGGTTACCATCCAAAAAATTTAATTATATTTTCTGCAACAATTTTATATATGTTTTTGTTAGAAATCAAAGGCTACATCTTCTATTTAATTGATGACAATATTAATATAAATATGTTTATAGAACAATTAGAAAAAAATATTACGTTATTACTTAGCATATGCATTATTATGATGGATAATTAACATGCAGTTATATAATTATTGCATATAGATTGCTTAGCATATGAATTGCTAAGATATAATCAGAGCATATAAATTACTTGAATAGACAACACTCCTAATCTCCCATTGTTGATAACCACAATACTTCCTCTTAAATTCTGTGATGCGCATTGTTGAATAAGCATTCTCCCGTAATGGTGGCAAACGTTGTAGAAGAAAATCTAAGAAGAAGTAATATGTTTTCTCTGATAGGACCTCCTCTTTGTTATTTTTTCACTTATGGCTGGTGTGCTTTATTGGATGTGAGCATTCTTTTCGTGTCGTTTGATTGTTTCGGGATATCTGGACAATGATGAGATTGGTTTATGCACACCTCCTGGATGGCCTTGGCTTGCTGGCAACCTTGGTGGTTGATTCTCTTGTTCTGATCAGTGGCCTTTGTTTGAGATGTGAGATACTATTTGTTTCATTTTTGGTTATTCTCTGTTTGATTTGTGGCTTATTGCTTCCAATGGATGATCCTAGCCTAACATCTGGGTGGTTGCAGGAAGCCTCATATTATTTCCTGAGTCCGGCTGGCATCTTCGCCTTCTTGACTAGTTCTTCGTTATTTTTGCAACCTACATAATGTTTAATTTTTGTTCATTTTCTTTTTGAGGTTGCTTTCCTTAATTTGGTTATTATAACTTTGTAATTATTGTTTTTTAGATGTTAATGGAAATGATGCTTCAATATTAACAAAGGCTTGATTTTGAATTCTTCACAAAGGTTTTAAGTCCTTGATCTCAATCTACTAATTAGCTCGGGCTATTGCAAACCCAGAACAACATACTTAGAAATTTGTTCTTTGGGCGAACACATCTCCATTGGTTGTTTGTTTGAAAAAACTAATGGATAACGCCCAAGATTAAAAGGTGTTGAAGCTTGGAGAATGACTTGTGAAATTGTCTATCTTGCAAAGGAAAAATTATTACGTCCGGACAAAAAATCGGAAATCCGGACGTATACCGAGTAATACCAAGTGCTCGGTACCGAGCTCTAGGCGACGTGGCGCATGGTTATTGGTCTCTGGACGCGTTCGGTATCCAAACTTAATAATTACTCCTTGCAAAGGCTACTACTGAGACCCAAAATTAATAGACATTTTAGTAGGCCTAGGCAATAAATAAACCTGAGCTGTTGGGTGCTGGCTATTTTTGGCTAATTTCTTTGCAGGGATTTGTACGAAGAGACAATGTGATTATGTGGCAAATGAAATAGCGGTTTCAGGATTTTAGAAGTTGGGGAAATTCTTGATAAAAGTGAGCAACATGAAAAAGTAATCATAATTAATGAAAAAAATAAAAAACGAGCATAAGAGGTTCCGAGCACTTGGAAAATTATCAGAGTAAAATTTCCCCCTGTAGTTAATAAATTTAACAATTTTGCCATTGACACTCAATTTTCTTTTAAATAAACGTGTTTTTTTTAATTATTATTAGAAGCAATGTATTGATTGGCCCACCCTAACTTTAAGGGAATCTAAAGATGCCGTTAGGCATCAAGCTGGCTCCCACATGTTTGAATTGGTTGTAGCGTCCATTCAAAATACTGTGTAGTCAATTTTGAATGTCTATTAATTATCCAATAAAATTAGGAGATTTTTTTTTTAGTTAATAATCTGAATATCATGTTGTAGTGGGCCTGTTTGCAAACAACTTTTATTTTTGACTTGACTGATGTAATTCTAAACTGAATTGTATTTTAGTGAGGACATATAAAACCAATTGGTTTTGATCTTAAATTCAAGATGATCCGATAAGTCATATATATTGTAAAGATAAGCAAGCAGATAAATACCTGCTAATATCCACCTTATCATGGCTCAATACATATCACTATACCACTCATCCACTACTTTATATAATTTATGTGTAAACACTGTATAATGTAACTACTTGTCTTCTATATTCAAATACAAATATCTCACCATGTAAACAGTAACAAACGTTCTGAAATAAAGATATCTTCAGTCCATTACTATTCCTCTAACCTTTCTCTTCCAGCTAAATGATATTTCTCTGGTTGTTCAACTTGGTATCAGAGCATTGATTGTCAGCTATTCGATGTTTCAAATGCCTTCCTACACGTCAATCTACAAGATACCATACACATGAAATAATTAACCACCTGAATTCATTGATCCCTTACATCCCGATCATGTCTACAAACTTCAAAAAGCTATCTATGATATTCTCCAAGCACCATGACAATGATTTCAAACCTTCTCTCTATTTCTCCTTCATCGCCACTTCAGATTCAGTGACTCTGATCCCTCTGTCCTCATCCATCGCTCAAATACCACTCCAGCATATCTTCTCCTCTATGTTGATGATATTCTCATAACAAGAAATAATTTCACAGCTATTTCCAATCTAATTACTGATCTTTAACATCAATTCCAGCTCAAAGAACTACTCCCAATCTCACAATTTCTTGGCATCCAAATACAACACATCAAC